TATTTTCGTAAGACTATGCTGAAAAATATGAATTATCGCCAGTGACGAAGCCTCCATTATAAATTTTCTTTTATCATTATGTTGAAAAAATTCCTATTATTTTTAGCACATTATTACTTTAAAAAATAATGTTATTTTTATTACGTTAAAACATTTATTATTATTTTTAACAGGGATGTGCTTCGACAAAAAAAACGGTCCAGGTCCGGGTACAGGAATAAAATTTAAAGGGTCCGGGTTCAGGGAACATAAAAAAAGTGACTCAAAATAAGATTTATTTATTTTATTATTATACTTCAATATATACACATTCATAATTTACTATTAAAAAGTTTTTAAATGAAATAATTTATATTTTAAATATTTTATTCAATCGCACAATCATAATATCTTCTAAAATATCATCCTTGAGATTTCCACGTAAATTAGACAATATATATTTCAAAGATAAAAACCACGTTCTACTCTTACCTAAAATAGATAGATATTTATATAATACATAAATTATTGTGCTTGTGTCGCAGGTACATTCATGACGATTTTAGATAAGATATATATAATTCTAAATATACAGAAGAATTTTCTTCACAGAATTTTAAAATATTTATATCCTTATTTATTCTTTAAACTTCTGATAACTTTTCTATTAAAGATGCAATATGAATTTTTTAATCCTCCTATCTATCTGATGATAATTTGATTTTTTTTCTCTATCTAAAAGTAAAATTTTAAGATCATCAATGTTGCTATCATTATTATTATTACTACCAGTAGGTAATGTCGTAGCCTCCAATATAGTTTAGCGTATGACATATATCCTAAAGAGCCATTTGTTTTTGCTCAATACTCAATAAAACTTGATATCGAGGGTTTAAATATATAGAAGCGTATACAACACTATTTTGCAAATATTGTTGTTCTCGAATTTTTATGTTTTCTATTATTTCGTATGAAAAAGGAATCGACATCTAATCCATATGCCATAAAAATATTATTAACATAATTGTTCATTTATTTAATCTAATATGTATTTAAAGCATATTTATCAATCTAATTTGTTTACAAATTATTTTAGAGTATATTTATAATTTTATATAAAAATATAAAATTTTCTTATTAAAATATTAAAATTTCAATTTGAAATATAAAAAAAAAAGAATTTTTCTCATTATTAATTTGATTGGATCTAAATATATAAATAAATATAAAAATTTTACTTAAGCATGATTTGAGAAAATTACTAATTGCCAATTTATATTACATTATGTACAATTATTCAAACAAGATGGGTATCATAAATAAAATGTAATGAGCAAATATAAAAATGAAAGAAAGCACCTGTTGAAGAAGTTGGATATTTGTCCTTGAGAAATTATCAATATATTAAACGATATTTTGGACATTAAAATTTTAAACTATTCATAAACATTTAGCTAATTGACCTTGGCTTACGTAAAAAACAAGATGCTTAATTTAGAAAACACATAATACAATCATGTCCATGATTTTATAATTTACCAACCTAAAGAAAAAATATTTATAGATAAGTTTGAAAAAGAAAACATATACATGTGCTCTCACTGCATTGCTGATTATTTATTAAATTCCCAATATAAGGGGAGCATCTTACTTTAGTTTGATGAAGCATATGACATAATACAAAAATTAGTCGTTTCATAAAGAGATGATCATCAAAATATTTTAAGTGAAATCATAAATTTCAGAAGTAAAAGCGGAGTATTTAATAGCCAAAATATGTGGAAACCAGTAACTTTCATAAAAAACAATCAGATATCGGGTTCATGTTGTTGGAATGGGCTTTGTTCACATTGAATATTAAGAGAAGTGTCTAAGAAATTCGATTGAAGATCTCGACAACCAGAAAGTTGGCAGGAGTATATCATAACATAAGATTGATTAAAAAATGTTAAAGAAAATGATAAGATTGAATATAAATTAGAACAAGGCTCTGCCATAAAGAGCGAAACATTCATTATAGAATTTAGTAAATAATTTAATATACATACATTTTTTACTATTATATATATAGGATTAATATTGTCTTAAAAAACATTTATTTGAATTTGACCATATTTGACCGGTCAAATGCACAACCCTGATTATCAGTAATATAATATACTATATAAATTTAGAATATACATTACCTTTAAAAGAAAATAATAGATTATAAAAAAAAATTTTATATATCATTTTGTTTGATTAAAAATATATAGATCAAAAAAAAATGTTAATTTAATAGTGTTAAAAGTTTCGTATTGAGCTGAATTTAACAGCTAACTCAATATTTATACAGAAAAATATTACTCAAGTCTGAAAATTTTGGTCATAGATATCACAAAGGCTTGGTATTAGCGAAATTTCGAAGTTTAGTCAAAAAATTTTCTGACGAAAATATTGACCGTTTATAAAAACCGGCTCAAATCAAGCCATTTAACAACACTGTGCGCACTTTATATTATAAAAATTAAAATCAAAGAAGCAGTTAAGACGATACGCTTCTATTAAAAACTTTTTAGCAGGAGTGGAAGTTCGCTCTTTTTGAAATGGTAGAAGAGGGAACTTCTTTAAAATGATGGTTAACAAATATAACTATCTAATTTTTTTTTAAAGTGTTTAATATAAATAACTTTAAAAAAGGGTATTATTATTGCTCTATTTACTTAGATGATGTTTGGGAAAAATTATGATTTATGGAACCATTTTAAAATATAACCAAGGATGGGACTGAACTTAGGCTGATTAGCTTACTACGTTCACCCTGAATTCAAAGCTAGCGTGAATTCGCTGAGAGGAATATCAAAATATCCATATTCTATATATTTCGCCGCTAACTATGAATTCAGGTTCAGGGTTGGGAGTATCGGGAATACTTGTGGTAACGATTAGCTATCAAATAGGGAGAAGTGATCCAAGGAATTAGGTGATCAGAGAAATGTTTTCACACGTTATGGATATACATGTATAAGATGTAAATATGGAATGGTATGATTATGTGTCGTCCTTTTGTGGACTGTATATGTTTTGAATATAAATAAATGAATCCAATAGCATATTTTATACTTGTATTTAAAATGGCAAAGTTAAAATCTCAACTATTTAATATTAAAAAAAATATATTTTGTAAATGAAAAACAACCAAAATTATTATAAAAAACTGAAATGAAATATTCTTATTTATTCACCCTCTCAGCTACAATCTATTTTCTTTTCTACTAAAAAATTATTTTTAACACACCAAGAGGATCTCGTGGCTCCCAGTGAACTTAAAATCAAATCTATTTCAATCCCTCATGAACATAAGATTCTCTAAACAAGTCACCTTGCCTACAAAATTGGTGAGATAGGGATCCGTTTTCACTGCCGTCATTAAGGATTAGAGATCTGCAAATCCTTGCCAGTCTGAAAATACGGCCTGGGGACAGGGGAAAAAAATTAAAACCCACCAGACCAAATTTTTAAAAAAATATTCTAACCGTTAGAAGATTCTTGAATAAAAAAAATATTCAGGTCGGTTAATTTATATATCAAATATCATGCAGGGCCTTCTGATTTTTCGTAAAATTTTAATAAAGCCAAGCCTTAAAATTTTGGTATATTTTTAGAATTTTAAAGCGAATATTTGATTTTTATTAATACTAGTGAAAATGAATTACAACATGTTTGTTTCTTTGTATTTTAAGGGCTGTCTAACTAAAATGGTGAATCTATAAATAATAGAGTAAAATAGACTTTCTGTAAAACTTTAACGGGCCGGCCTGATATTTTGTTAAATATGCCGGGCAAATCTAGGACCAAAGAGGGTTGGGGTTTGTAGACCTCTATTATGGATGCAAACCTTCGTATGATCTGTAAACACCCATCCAACTTCTAAACTTAGCACCTGACTTGGACAACTAGTAAAAACAATCCTTTATTCTATATTCCGCTCACATATAAAAACAATGGAATACTCCTCTTATTGCTTGTTCCGTAAATTATTTTTCTTTAAACGATTTACTTTAGATTAACTTCAACTTAATTATCTTTAAAGCCAAGACAGATTACGAATGGCTTGAAACCATCCACTACCATTCTCGGATTGATTCTCTCAACATTATTTATTCCACTTGTGTGGTTAAACGATAGGCAGCCACCTTATTACAAATATTTTCAGGGTTTTCTTTACGTGATAGTTTCAAAAGATCAGACGATATTGATCCTAATATCATGGTCCAATGGCACCCTTCCCCCCCCCCTTATCAGCCAATCTGGGACTACACCAGTATAAAATAATCGACCAAGTCTAATAGTTCATATCAATAATCAAATCTTTAAGATAAATATTCAGCTAAAAGTAATTTATGTCCCCATCGCCACCAATACTTTAGAAATCATCAGCGATGACTTTTCGTTTATCAAATTGCTAAGGGAAATAACCATCAATACTGAAGATCATAACGAGATGTTCTACCTCCGCCAAAGGATCTCTTTGGAGATTTCGCTCCAATTTTCTCAACATCCATACACCCCTAGGATGATCCTTTTCCCCAATTTTTTAATATATCTATTTATCCCCTTCTCTAGTTCATTATCTTTAGCCATTCTTTCTGTATTTTTTTCCCCCACACTCTCATTTTTATAATATATAATAATTTTCAATATACAAAATATCTTACCTTTTTGAAAATAAAATATATTTAGTACCTTCTATACAATAAGCAAATGTAAATAAAAAAAAAATTTTATTTTATTAATTTTTGTTGTTTTAATTATTTATTTTATTAATTCTTTATCATAATATACAATTATTTATTTTTTTTTCTACCAGCTAAGCGTATTTGAACAAATATTACTAAAATTAAAATCATTAATAACTATTGAAAAATTAACCTAATGTTTTAGGATTTTTTTTAAAATATATAAAAAAATATATTTAATACGAGAAGTATGGGGTTAAAAGGGAATTTATTAATATTTTCATATCCTTTCATCGAAACAAAAATAATAATTTTTAGATAGGAACAAAAAGGCATGTAAAATCCGAGGAAAATATTACATTTATGAAATCCCACATGCAACAAATATATTTTAATGAAAATAAAATGTGAATATTTACGGTAATAATTATAATTATATTAATCACTTGCCTTTTCTAATTTTGGATTTATAATTTTTGGTCAGTGTTTACGACAACAGATAAAGTATAGATATAGTAAAATCATAATAACTAAAATATCACATTTTGAATAATACAACTCTTATTCAAAGTTCTTTTTTGACTTTGTTAACAGCCTGGAAGTATAGTAACTTTTGTTCGGGATCAGGTGTTATCTAATTTATTTTTTAAAAAATAATTTATTTTCATATTAATCCTTTTTTTTAAAAATTATTTTCGAGTAAGGTGGATTCATGATGGGATCCGATCTGTCACAATTTAACAGCTGATGGATTTTTTAAAAATTAAAATCAATAATCCTTAGATTATTATCATGAATAGAAATTAAAAATAAAATTAATAATAACATAGGAAAATTGATCTCATAAACAAGATTTTTAAAATCAATCAGCTAATCGTGACGGATCGGTTACCACAAAGAATCCAGTCTAAAATTAAGACAGAAACAATTAAAATTATTAATTATACACAACGTAGTACTGGCAGAATCGATGGAGCAATTTGTAAAAAAAAATTCTGAATCTATGCGAGCCAATTAAATTAAAAAAATATATATAATAAGTTGCGAACCAAAATTAGGGTTCAGAAGCTTAAAATTATTTTGTTAGAAGAAGAAGAACTGATTTTAAAGACAATCCATCGAATCCGGGGTAATATGAACCTATGTATTTTAGCCCCCTCGGATCCGATCTATTATCAAAATTTCCGCTAAATAGAGTTTAAAATTCCAAAACCTATGCAATTTTTTTAAAGATTCGTTTAGCAAATCTATCTATCTCGGTTATTATACATTGGTGAGGTCCCGTTTAGCATTTAAATTTAATGTCTGGTATTTATCTTTAAAATTGACAATATTTACAATCATTTTAAGATATTTTCGAGGTGAGACAAATTAACTATGAGACAAGTAGAGACAATTGAATATTTAGAAGATAATTTGGGTATTTATGAAATGGAGGTATCGATTAAAGTTAGAAGTCTGTAATAGGCAGGTTTTTAGCTAGCCCACTTTCCGGGCGTGCGTGAATGTTGAAAATATGTTTAACAGTGAGCAGGTGGAGGGCGGATATTAAAAATAATTGGCGGGTGATGGGCAGGTGAATTTTAAATATTTTCGAGAGAAATGAGCGGAAAAAACTTTTATTTAAATTAAAAAATTGTCTTTTTTTTTATTATTTCATAACATTAGATATTTTATAAGTTTGATTAAATTGCATTCAAATAAATAATTAGAGCCAAACCAGTTATTAAAATATCTTTTATATTGTACGGGTGGTCAGCAAAATTTTTAAATGAGCAGATGGGTGAATTTAAAAAACCATGGGGGTACATTTTTAACAATAAATCATTCCCAATTAGGTTTAAATATAAATCTCAAGATTAAGAACATTTATCTGCCCTTTCTAATTTATCGGCATCTAGATCTTTCTTTCAAATGTACTCTCTACAGTTGAGGTCCTCAACATGATGTTTATTCATATTAAAATTAAAAGATTAAATTGAGATTTAACATTTTTTGTATTGATTGATTTTTATAAAATTGTTATCATTATTTTATATGCCTTAAGTGATTTTTATAAAATTGTATTTTATTTACCTAAAGTATTATAAAATTAATATATATATAGATATATATAGACAATTCTGTTCAGATATTTGAAATAAAAGTATCAAAAATTAAGTATCTCCATGGCATAAGTAGAAGAAAAATCACCATATTTATCGAAAATTTTTAAACTCAATATAGATATAAATGACTTTTAATTAATTTCAAAAAATAAAGCTATAAAGTGCAAATTTATAAAACAAGAATTGAGCAATATAAGTGAACTAAAATTTGTGGATTCTTTAGTCGGTTCTTTGCTAAATATTTGGCAACACAGCACTAACTCTTACTAGATCTTTGATATACCACTTAAATTTAATATTGATTACGTATTTTATTTTTTAAAATAAAATAAATTCACTAGAAAACGATAAATGTACTGAAATATCATGTAAACATATTATAACCGATATATCTCCTGGTTTCCAATCAGCTGGACATACTTCCCCATATTTATCAGCATGTTGAATAGCTTGCAAAAGTCTCAACGTTTCTTCAACTGATCTACCAACTGGGAGATCATTTATCGATATTTGCCTCAATATACCCCGTGGATCAATTATGAACAAACCCCTAGGTTAAATAAAACTTCTAATAGAGTTCAAATTTAAATGAACATAAGCTAATGATTAGTGTTGTTGAAAAGCTCAATTTTAGCGGACTTAAAAAGAGCTAACTCAATTTATCCAGAAATATATTACACAAGCCTTAAGATTTTGCTATTAGATTAAAAATCGCCCAAATTGAGCTATTTAACAACACTACTAATGTATGATTATCAGAGGCCTGCTGACTAGGCTCTAAGCCCAGTCTGTATTTTAATTTTTTTAAATATAACTGGACTAGGATAAGCCTTAAATATTTTTTAAAATATACCCAGGCCTGGCAAAATTTGAAATATTTACCTAAATAAATTATAAATAATATACTATATTTTAAGAAAATATGGGCTAGACCTGAAAATTAATTTTATTAAAAAATTCGGGGCCAAGCTATATTGTACAAATGGTACCTCTGCAGGTATCTGATTAGCATACAATTGCAGAGTGCATAATTTTTTTTTTGTTAAATACCAGAGCTGGCTTAAAAAAAAATTTTAAAAAAATACCTGGGCCAGGCCACATATTTTAAATAGCCATTAATAGCTATAAAAATATTATATTTTTAAAAAATTAGAATGAGCCTGAAAATATAAAATCTGGGCTCTGGGCCAAAAAAATACACTGGGCCATGCTAATGGTACCTCAGCAGGTCTCTGATATAAATACAATATAAAATTTTTTTTAATAATAATCATCTTCTTCAGTAGATAGCCAGGAAGCCTTAAATAATTTATTGTGGTCTATGAGCTCAAAGCTAATTTTTTGTTTTACCAATTTCAAAATTGTTGTCTTAGGGAACTTTTGGAGATAAATTTAATTAGGGACTTAATCTCTTTTCCAAATTAATAGTTTGTTGAAAAAAATGGATATAAGTATATTGTTTTTAGCTAATTGGGAATATTGTAAAAATATCATTTCTCAGTAATTCCTAATGGAACACAATTACTATTGTGAAGAGGGGCAAAAATGCTTATACATGTAAAATTCCATAAAATTTGTTTGCCCATATCCCAGGTAGCTAAAGCATACAATTGTAATAAATTAATAAATGATTATTTATGTATATTGTATATTAAAAATAGAATCGAACATTCGAAAAATAATAAATAAAATTTGATATCAAAAATAAATTGAAATATAAATCAGTGGTCGTATAATTTATAATTAGTAGTTGGTATTACTACAAATGGCGACGATAAATGGAGAATATAATTCCTTAAATGGAGATAATAATTCCTTAAATGGAGAAAATAATTCCTTAAATGGAGATTCAAAAAAAATAGCGGATTTATCTACGATTAAATTTGATAAATTCGAGTTGGATACTTCTATTCACAGATATTTTTCTCAATGGGAAGCCAGTTTTCGGTTAAAAAACGTAAGCCCATCTGAATGTCAATATAAAGATATATTTTTAACATTTTTTGGCAATAAGAATATTGAGTTGGTGGACCGTTTTTGTTATCCTGATTCGATCGAAACTTTATCTTTTAAGGAAATTAAGTCAATATGTTTTAAACTATTTAAACCGACGTCAACAGCTTTTGCTTCTAGATTTGATTTCGTTAGATTACGGAGAACAACTGAAACCATAACTGAATTTGCAGATAAAATTAGAACAATTGGAAAGCGTTGTCATTATCTTAATGATATTGACGAGCGTTTACGTGATCAGTTTATGGTTGGCATGGAAATACCGGGATTGGAAAGAGATCTTAGAGCTCTATATCCCGACGGTCTTGATAGAGATAATAATGTACTGACTTTTCAATTTATTCTTGATCTGGCATTAGCTTCTGAGCGAGCAGATAAAGAAATGGCAAATAAAAATATGCCAGTTGTTAATAAGATAAATGTTAATAACAAAAGAAATGATAATGATAGTAATTATAAACATCCAATAAAAACGACGACTACAATTGATAAAGGCTATAATAAAGTCAAGTATAATAATACATTTGATAAAGAGAATAATAACTACAAATATAATAATGATAAAGATTATAATAAACTTAAATGTTATAAATGTGGTTTTATTCATAACCGAGAAGTGAGATGTCCAGCTACAAATGCGGCATGTAATAAATGTAAAAAAATTGGTCATTTTGCAGTTTGCTGTAAATCAAAGAATTTAAATTATATAAGAGTGTCATCAAGTGATTCTATTCATAATATTTGGAAGATTCAACAAAATCGAGAGAATCGAGCAAAACTAACTGCAGAGATAAATGGGTTAGATGTTGAATTTGAATTTGACACTGGTGCACAAGCGTCATTGATAGGAATTGATATATGGACAAGTATTGGGCGACCAAAAATTAGGCCAACCAGTCCATTGACTGCATATGGTGATCATCCGTTAGACGTCAAGGGCGAGACCCAAGTCAATGTTAGGATTGGATCACAGACAAGGACTCTACCAGTGGTAATAATGAATACAACTGGGGTGCCTCTTTTCGGATTACCATGGATTATAGCATTCAATTTAGAAATGCCTCGTCAGGTTATGATTAAACAAGTACGCAATTTGGTCAACAATATTGAAAAAGAAAAATGTTGCATAACACTAGATCCTAGAATTCGAGATTTGATTAATAAACACCAAGAAATTTCGGAAGAGAATCAAGATTCTAAACATGCTTTGGATATTCGAAGTATTAATTTAGATGATATGCAATTGTCAGAAAATATTCTACGAAAAGAGTCGAAGCAAGATTTAATATTAAAAAAAGTAGCAATACATATTCAGCAAAGTTGGCGAAACTTTGATCGTCATAAAGATAAAGAAATAGTTAATTTTTATAATCGACGGGAAGAGCTTTCTGTCAATCGTGATATTATAGAATGGAATGGGAGATTGGTTATTCCTAATAAATTAAGAAATGCAGTGTTAGGAATGATTCACCGGGGACATCCTGGGGAAAATGTAATGAAATCTATTTTTAGATTGTATTGCTGGTGGCCCAGATGTGATGTTGATATAGAAAATTTTATCAAAATATGTTCTGGATGCCAGAAAAATAGACCTAGTATTCAAGAAGTACCTCTATATTCTTGGACTGTTGGAAAGGAACCTTGGGAGCGAATCCATATTGATTTTGCTGGACCAGTAGATTCGCGATACTGGCTAATAGGTGTCGATTCCTATTCCAAATGGTTAGAAGTTGATCTAATGCAAAATACCTCTGCTGATGCTATGATAAAACGACTAAAAAAATGGTTTGCTAGGTTTGGAATACCCAAGTACATTGTGTCAGACAATGGACCACAATTCTTATCTGGGGAATTTCGTAGGTATTGTGATTTAAATAACATACGTCATATACGTTCAGCACCCTATCATCCAAAAACTAACGGATTAGCTGAACGTACAGTACGAACTTTGAAAGGTCGGTATTATGCAACGAGAGATTCAATTAGCGATCCCGAAGAAGCTATGACACAGGTTTTAACAACCTACCGATTGGGAGAGCATAGTTCCACAGGGAGATCTCCTGCTAAAATTATGTTTGGGAGGCAATTGAAAACAAGTCTGGATTGGATCCGACCAAATGCCGAACACGAAATAGTAAGAGCTAATGATAAACAAAGCCTTCATCATGATTTACATTCAAAGGAAAGAGAATTTGAAATCTCACAACCTATATGGTTAAATAATGAAAATACCAATGGTTGGAGAGAGGGAGTAATTAAAGAAAGAATAGGACTTTATTCTTATATTGTTGAATCTTCCGGGAAAACATTACGGAAGCATGCAGATCAGTTAAGAAATCGTTTAGTTATCCCAAATCATGAAAGTTCTTTGGAAGTTACAGAAATGGTTGTGCCAGTGAATGAAGCAAATACAAACACAAATACAAATACCACATTACGTTGCTCATCAAGAAACCGTAAACCTACAAAGAGGTTTATTGAAGAAATCTAACTTTAAATTGTTTGAAGGAAATGTAATAAATTAATAAATGATTATTTATGTATATTGTATATTAAAAATAGAATCGAACATTCGAAAAATAATAAATAAAATTTGATATAAAAAATAAATTGAAATATAAATCAGTGGTCGTATTGTTTATAATTAGTAGTTGGTATTACTACAACAATCAGGCCATGAATTATGATTGAAGTGTCTCAATGTCCTAGATAAGGGTACATTGGCTTTAATAATAAATTTTAGATGATTTTATTGATTTTTTCGTGTTGTATATAATTGTATCTATTGATAAGACTATGGAGTGGATGTCTAGCATCAGAATCACACAATAACACATATCTTTGACAGTTATACAGTAAAAATATCTAAGCCCAGCCTAATTGCCATAGCATATCTGAATTCCTTGTTGCCAAAAGGTATTTAACAAGCAAGCTTCGATAAGCTTCTAACTATTCAAAAACTGATTATCTATTACCAATTAACAAAGGTTAGTACCAGATGCCATTCAAAAAAGTAAATCAAAATTATAGGTATAAATAAGTTAAACAAAATTATATACAACATATTGCATTGATATAATTACATTTTGTAATATTATTTTATAACAATTTATCATTTCATATATTATTTCACCTATATGTATGTCCTAATTCTTTGGAATAAACTCCATATGATTTAGATATGTTGTGATTTAAGTCTGACATTAGTGGAATATTAATTTTTCCAAGACCACCATCCTTTCTAGGAGTTTTTACCCTAAATTTAATTTTTATAAAATTATTTATAGTGTCTGACCAAGCATAATGAGTATAAGCTGAATCAACTGAGCATGCAATAATTTTTGTTTGTAAATTTTCAAATTCCATAAATCTATCACTAAATGCAAGTATTTCAGTTGGGCATACAAAAGTGCTTGAATAAAGATCAATATTTTTTATAAAAATATCATATTATACAAGTCTAAAGGGTAAAAGAAAAGAACAAGATATTTTCCTGCATGATAAGAAGAATTAATTTGAATAAATTTATCTCCGAATATAGCAACTGTATGAAATTTTGGCGCTGGCTTACCAACTTAATATTAAATAATTTATAAAATATTATATCTAAATTTACTAAATGTTTGCAAATGTTGATGATGTTCAGAATGTATAGGACCTACTTGTATACCGCAATATAATAAAGTAAGGAAAAAATTTAGCATTTTTTTCAGGAACATTTTAAATCCGTGCCTGATTTATCATATGTTTTGATAACATGACAATTGTTAAATATAATAATTTTTATAAAATTATTAATCGAATATAAAGCAATTAGAATAAAATGTATATATGATAACATATTTAGAAAAAAGTAAATAAATAAAATTTTGTTAGTTAGTAATATTCTTAGTTGATTTTTGTTTAGTCCGAAGGGCCCTTGAAATTGTTGTTTTATGGCTTATATGACTAATTAATTTGATTAGGGTTATAGCACCTTTCCCAAATGAACAGTTAGTTGAAACCATGAATTTAAATATATTGTTGTAGGCTAGATATAAATATGTCTGGACTTTTTTTCGCTATACCTAAGGAGTCGTAATTATTGTTTGATAGACCAAAAATTTAAATAGTCCATAGAAGCAAGGGAAGCATTGCTTCCCTTAAGATTTTTTTTTACAAAATTCTTAAATAAACTTAATATAATCTCCATACTATAAAAAATTTTAACTGACTTCGTTAAAAAAAATTTTATATAATTTTTACTACATTAAAATATTTTCTATTACCTTTACTAATACTACGTTAAATAAATATACATGATGGTAGCAAATTTAAAATTGCTTATTATTTAAGATTAATATTTTAAAAAATCATGTTTCACGTACGATATTTTTTGGTGTAATTTTTTTATTAGTTTAAAAAATATATATACGAGGGAAACAAATTTAATATTGCTTATTTTTTTATAGGAGAAAATCATGCAGGGTTGGGCAGTATCACGGATATTTGTATCTAAGATAAGAATGCCACAAATCTATAAGTGGTTCTGCGAAACTCGTCATCATATTTTGTCAAGCATTTAAAAATATAATATATAATTATATAATAAATCATATTTATAATCATATTCATTATCATTTCATATTCCATATATCTGTTGCTAAATTTAGAAGTATTTTAAAATAAATTTTTATATTATTGATTGATAATGAAATTAAAATGATATATAAAAATCATCTATGAAAAGAATAAGAAAACTAATATTGATAAAAAAAGAGGTCGTTAATTTAAATATTAGGCCAAAATATATTCAAATATTTGGGGCACCATTTTTATATGTTTGATAGTACTTAGCAATATTTAAACCACCTTTCATATTTATTTTTTTAATTTTTACATATATGCTTAAATATAATTTTCTTTATAAAATTAATTAAAAGAAATATTTATTAAATATAACACAATATTACCCTCCTATGCCCCCGTTGAACGATTATTTAGCTTTGCTAATATGGTTAATTGACTAAACAAATCGTCAAAGATTGAATGATAAATTATTTGAAAAATTAATAATATTAAAAAATAATGCTGATTTATGATGCTTATGTATTAAAATTACTAATTATTAAAAAAAATATCGCATTATCATATAATAAATTTGCTATTTTCTACAATTTATTTTCAAATTTTTTATAAATTTATATTTATATAAGAAAATACTCTATACATTTGGATTTTGACTATTTAAAGTTAGTATCTTGTATCTTATATACTTTTCCTTAAAAAAAGATACAAGTATCTTTATCTTATATACTTTTTCTTAAAAAAAGATACAAATATTTTGTATCACATCTTATTGAAATTTTTCTAAAGTATCTAGTATCTTGTAACTTAAATACAAAATTTTTTAAAGTATCTGTATCCTAATACATTTTTCTGAAAATTTGCCCAACCCTGAAATCATGCTATGGTAATTGTGTAATTTTACGATTAAAATATAAGCGTTGGGGAAGCAAATAAAAAAATGCTTATTTTTTTAAATAAATTAAAGAGAAAATAAAAAAAATTTTCTTACTTTTTCTAAATAAAAAATTTTCCCATTTTTAAAATGCTTTATTATTTTAATTGTATTATTAAATTTATTGATATTATTATTTAGCTCAAGAAATTTTAATGCGATTAATTATTGGAAAAGGAAAACCAAAACCAATTTCAAAAAACTTTACAAAAAATCAAATCTTGCATTCGTAATTTTTCTATTGATAAATATGAAAAATATGAGTGGCTCACTGGATATGAATTTTCTAATTCTCTATATTGTTGGTCATCCTTATTATTTCCAAAGGAAAAATATGTTTTCGATATGATAAAGGATTTTCGGATATGAAAAATTTTTCAAAGGCAGTTAAACGTCATGAAGAATAAACCGCTCTTTACTGTCGATGATTCAATTAAAAACATTTAGTGAAAATATATTGAAAATATTGATCAACTCTATCTTGGAATTCAGGAGCTCTTATTCTTTGGTAATGATGAATCTTCTAATTCAATAAATAGAGGAAATTATATTGAATTAATTTATTTGCTGGCGGAAGAAAATTTACTATTGAAACATCATTTAGAAAATAGTGCAGTTTTTATTGGACTATCAAGCCATATTCAAAATGATTTTATTAGTTCTATTTCATGTGTCGTATACCAAAAAATATTAAATGAATTGGAAGAAACGGAATTTATAACAATAATATTGGATGAAACAACTGATATAAATAATAAATCTCAACTGGCTGTTGTTCTTAAATATGCTTTATATAATGGGACATTGTATGAAAGATTGATTTAATTCTTTTATGTTATTCGAGATGCTAATTCTTCAAAATTTGTCATTATATTTTTGAATGATAAAAAAATTATGAAAAAATTAATAGGTCAAAGTTACGATGGCGCAGCAATTATGTCAGGCGATTCACATGGACTGCAAGATAAAATAAAAGACGTCAATCCTTTAGCACTTTATATTCATTGCGTTGACCATAGGTTAAATCTTATATTATAAAATCTTGTAGCAAAATTAAAGAATGTAAGGTTATTTTGCAACTTTATCTGGTTTAACCAGTTTTTTTAGTACATCATCTAAGCGGACAGCGGAATTTAATAAATATGTCGAAAAAGATTACCATGAGTAGCCCCAACAAGATGGGAATACAATGGTCAGCTAGTTCAAACAGTTTTCAATTATTTAAAGGATCTAGTCGTTTTTTTTTGAAAGTATGAATGATGGAAAATCTGATATTGTTTGGGATAATGATGTTTTAATAACCCTCGTAGCTATTTAAATATATTAAATGACGCAAATTTTCTGATTTTGTTATTTTTCCAATAAATATTTTTAGATCTGATTTATTATTTGATATACTTCAAACTAAATTAACGATATAAGGGTCTTAAAAGTATTAAAGATTTCCGAAATTCTATTAACAAACATAGAAAACTTTGATGTTTTTGGGATAAATTTTTTTTCTCTTTAGCTTTCACCTTTTCTGGTGGTAAGCTCCTTCAACATCTTTCTCCTCTCTATGTTATTCATACAATCTCTTTTATCTAATTTATACTTCTTTATATTGGCTCTAATTTTATGGCTCCATTGAAGTTTTGCCCTTCCTCTTTTACGTTTGTCCATCACTTCCAAACTCTCAACCTTATTTCCTATGTAGTTCATAGGCTTTCTCATTGTGTGCCCATACCACCTAAGTCTACCATTAACTTAGTCTTAATGGGCACTACCTTTAAACTACTTAGTATTCTTGTACTGCGCACTTTATCCTTTATTGTTGCCCTAGCAATCATACTCAGCATTCTCATCTCCGTAGTTTATAGACTTCTTTCGTCTGATTCTTTGGTTGGCCATGTTTCCGAACTATATAGAATAGTTGGTTGTACTATGGAACTGTAAATTTTCCCTATAATTTGTGTGGGATTCTTTTGTTCAGGATAGCTCAATACAAAATATTTAATAAAAATATAATAATTAAAATAACAGATAATATAATCAATTAAATTGTTTTTCAGTTAGATACACTAAAAAATATCAAATTCGTCGAATTGTTGGATATTAGTAAATACCAAATAATCAAAATTTCCCAAAATATTTATTAGTTAATTTAAATGGCACTTATTCTCAATTTTTTGACCTACACAAGCTGGAAACTGAATTAAAAGTAGTATTTCGGGACGAAGAATTTAGAAAGAAAAAGAATGTTAATGAAATACTTGAATTTTTATATGTACTGATTTGATGAAAAGTTTTAAAGAGTTTTTTAAAATATGCTAATTCATACTAACTTTGGCTTCAACAATAGAAATTGCAGAACGGTTTTTCATATTTAAAAAGGATCAAATCTTATTGCAGAAGCTGGATGAGTCAAAATCGATTATCGAATCTATCTTTGATTTTGGTTGGGAAAAAATTGTTAAAAAATTTAAAATCCAGCAATAACTTTTATAATTTAGTACTTGAACATTTTTATGAAAAACAAAGACGAATTCCACTTATTTATAAATCTTAATGTTTTATGGTTTGACTTATAAATAAAAAGAAGAATATTTTTTTTGATTGCTCCCCTAGTAGTAAACTTAACGCTTAGTAACTGGTATACCTTTGAAGTCACAATATATGTGTTTCCCTATATCCCAATGGATTAATCGAAATATGAAGGAGCTGGTATCGGAACGGACGCACTTTGAACATATATATCATTTTTAATGAGATTGACTTTTGACGGAACGAATGTAAAAAACGGATTCGTCTTTAAATCTCTGGTTTCAAACTTATAGAGGCCATTTTGACAGCATTTTAGCTTATTTGCCTCTTTGATATTTTTAAGAGTATATAGAGCGCACCCGAACCTATAAAAGCATGGTAATAATTTATTCCAAACAAGCATAAGAAATTTGTTTATAAAAAGTTAATAGACATATAGTTGATATTCCTCTATTATATAGAATTAGTTACAAAATACTAGATAAAATTCCACTTTTACAGACATATTTGACAGTTAGAGAATATATCACAGTTAATATTTTATTTTAACAAATTTTACTAATCAATGCTCTTGATAAGCAACAATTTGTATTTAATTATTTAACGCCATCTATTTATTTTAAGTAAAAATGATATTAAAAATTAATCTTCATATTATTCATCCCACAATGTCTTTAAAAGATATTTTTTGATGTCCTTATCAATATTAGTTTTCTGTTTAATATATAATTCGCTAAATTGGTAAAAATTGCTTGATTGTCATATGATAATTGATAAAATTAGATATATTGTAAATCTACGACATATAATATTCTATTGTTTGTATTGTGCTTTAATTTTTTTATTTAATTTATGATCTTTATCAATAGTTTTATAATTATTTAATTTTATTAAGATAAATAAATTAAAATTACTCACTTTATAAAAAATTATATTTGATATATTATATTATTTAGTAATTTTATGGATCAATTATTAATAATTATAAGACAATTCTCTTTATCCTTGTTTCTTAAAAACATTTTTGGTTCACTTTTTTTATATATAAATGCTTTTTTCAAAAATGTATAAATTATGATGAATAGTTTTATAAAAAAATGTCAACTTTTACATTCTTTCTTTCAAATTATTGTTTAAAATATATGCATACATTTTTGGGGGGTCAGGGAGTGGGGGGGAGGACTTAGGGGGATATTTATTATTAGCTTAAAATGATATTCACAAAAAGTGATAAATTTCTGAAGGGGGAGGGAGAATTTCCCCTTGCCCCTCCCCCCCCTGGCTACGCCTATATAGCTTTAGCATATGTAAATTCCTTATCATGTCACATAGATATTATATTTAACATGCACCATATATATTTTCCATCAGAAATTATATTTTGTTTTTCATGGACATTTTTTATAATTATCTTTAAGTTAAATTTCTTTTACTTTGGTAAAACCGATTAATAAAAATTTTTATTTAACTTTCTTAATTTTGTCAAACATGATATTTCAATATTCAAATTAAATAGTTTAATATTTGGTACAGCTTAAGATTCTATTACCTTATGTTATTATATTATATTTTATTCACATTTATTCTATTTAAAACTTCAATAAGTTTATATTTAACGAACCTTATTCAATTTATTAAACTTATTTAAAAATGAAATTATTATTACCTGAAAGTTATAAAAATAAAAGATAAATATAAATTAAATTTATTAAGTTATTCCTGTTCGGGTAAAACTAACAACATAAATATTTTTAAATGTGCAGAAAGATGATATAAAAGATATTAAAATACCTTTAAAATATTTACAATTCGTCTAGAGGATAGAATAGAAGGCCACAGAATTGAAAGATATTCAGCTTCCCTTTCCGCCCCTTGCGCCTCTTAAAAACTATCCATGATTAATTTAAATGCCTTATATTTTATTTAAAAATAGATATATTTAATCTAATTTGAAAATGCAATTTAATATGATATAAAAATTAATCCTTCCACTATTTTTAAAAAAATTTATATTTTTTATTATTTTTAATTTTTTGGGTTAGGTTGGAGAAGTTGAACCTTTAGCGACTCCTATTATTATGTTTATATTATCATTTTAATTCATCATTGCATGTAAGATATCAATCAAACATTAATATATATGTTTATTCTGTGTATTTTAAATATATCTATGATAATTCAATGGAAAAAAATTTAAAGTTGCATATTTATATTTATTATTTTGATTAAATGATTTGAATCTGGACATATAAATAATTTTATAAAATATTTTTAAATTTATTATGAGTTTTTATTATATACAAGTTATTTGCATATTAATGTTTATAGAAAATATTTTTGTAATAATTAAATAGTCATTTAATTTAAACCTTGATAATTGCCACTTATAGAAATAATATTTAATTATTAATAAAATTGAATAAAGTTATTATTAGATTCATTTTATAAAATTTTAATAGTGATGTATTTTGGTGCTTATTTATTTAATATATTTTAATAAAATAATCTCCTATTTCCCATTGTGTATTTCTAAAAATTTAATGATATAAATTTAGTTTATTTCAAGATTTGTCCATTGTAAAACTAATCCAAATTTTCTTTGACCTAGCCTTACTTGTGAAAATTTCTGCCTGGCTTAACCAACCAAAATTTTTTTATTACTGCATTTTTCAAGGGGTGTATTATTATTTTTACCCTTATCAATTAAAAAAGAATTAATTAATATACCCTTTGATAAAGGTTGCTGGCTTGGCCCATAACAAATTTTTTAAAGAAAAAGTGTATATTTGCATTATTCATTTATAAAATAATTTGCCAAATTTGGCTTGGCCCAAAAATTATATTACACAAGGTTGGATATTTAAAAAAAAATCTTTTATTTAAAATTATTAGCATTACCTTTTAATAAATAACATAATAGGATTTGAAAATATTTTTAAGCCTGACCTGGATTTTTTTTGATGCTTTTAGACAACCTTGAATTTAAAAAAAATGTTATCTTGAATAATTTCAGATATATATATATAATTTATTTATTTTAAAATAAAATTTAAAATTAACAGGTTTAATCTAAATGCTGAGAGATCAATGAAAATAACTAGTTTACATAGTATGCAGGCATGACCCTAAGCCCAACCAGGGTACACAAGCTGGGCCATATTTTAATTTTTTAAATACCCTAGCCAGGCCTTAAAATTTTTCAAAAAAAAAATACTTAGGCTAAGCCAAATATTTTAAATAACCATTATTAAGTTTAAAATTATATTTTTTAAAAAAAATGTGGGACAGTTGAAATTTTATTTTAAAAAAAATCAGGTCTGTCAGGCCTTAAAATATAAAATCCGAGCCAAACAGGGCCAAAATTTTATTAAAATAAATTCTGGCAGAGCTGTGCAGATGGTACCTCTGCAGCTCTCTAGCATATCTTTCAATGTGTTTTTTCTGGCAATGTGTTATTTTTCAAAATTTTTTTTAATATTTAATTTTGATTTTACCATAAATGTATTCCAACATGTTTGGAATATATAACTCATACAATTTTGTTATGAACTTTGGGACTTAATATAATTTGTATAGGTTTTCCATAGATTTATTATATAAATTTAAAATGACTAAAAGTTATATGGAAAAATTGTCCACAATTCATAAGATACATATTCTAAACATGTTGGAATATATTTTTAGTAAAATCAGATTTTTAAATTTAAATAAAACGTGCTTAAAAAATGATTTAAAGTTGAAAAAATAACACATTGATTTCTTGCTTTAAAGATAAAATCATGGGTTACGATGTTTGTTAGTTATGTTGTATTTTGTATCAGTTATTTGATAGGAGTTTATAATATTACCCATAGATTCTAAATTGATTTTTATTAAAATTAATAAATGATCCATTAAGTGCTTTAATGATTAAACTGAAGAATTTACCTATGCATAATTTTTTACCTAAAAAAATATATATATATATGTAGATTGCTTTAAAAAAAATCAATCCCTATGGATGCTCATATAAATGTCAAATCTTAATGAATATGATGTGCATAAATTAGACTATAATTATCAAAGAATTAAATTGCCCATCAGAGTTTTAAGGATTTTAATTAATTATCGTTTTCATATTTTTTTTATTATAAAAAGTATTAATTACGAAAATAAAAATATGCCAAGGTGTTTTAGTATTTGATTTGTTTTAAAATAAAATATACAATCAATTCTGGGCCTTCCCTCTTATAAATGAGCATTTAATAAAATCGATTTATATAAAAATTTCGCTACCTGTAGAAATAGTAAATATTAATTTTTGTAAAATTTAACTTGCAGGGCAAATTTATATTTCTTATGTTTGCCTTTATTTTTTTTCTTGGAAATCATATAATATAAAACGTCTGTAAAATAAATTTACTATTTAATAAAATTTCCTGGAAAAATAAAGATAATAGGGGGTTAATGGATTACCTACTTTTTTATTTTATAAGCTGGTTTTAGCTAAATTTAATCGATTTTATTTAAAAAAATGATTATTTACGCACTTAATTATACATTTAGGATAATAAGAGAAAATGAGATAAAATCTCTAAGAAATATTTAAAAAAATATAATGATTCTATCTTTTATATTAAATATATATTCTCGTAACTTTCTTTAAAAAAAATTTTATTTTATTACCTGACGATAATTAGATATTTGAAAAAATAAATAGGTTGATGCCAAAATAACATTCAAAAACATTTATAAAATGTATAAAATTAAATCTAAAAACTTGAAAACAGAATATGATATTTTTAAAAATAAAAATATATTTACAACTTATAAAATATAATCAAGATTATTTATGAGTATTATTATAATCATAAATATTGGCCGCTATTTTTTGCCTTTTTAACTTAAAATTTGTAAAATTTTTTATCCGAAAATAAATGAATGATTATTATAAACAAGTCTGCAATTATCTTATTAAATTCCAATATGGCGGTACTCCTTCCCTTATTACATTTTTTTTCAAGGAATAATGAAATACAAATTTAATTTAATCTAATAACTTAACAAAAATATATTTATTTTAAATAAATAAAATAAATAGTGTAAATACAGATTAGAAAAGCAAAAATTTCATATGATTCCTTGTGCAGTTTTCCGAGCAAAGATATAAAGACAAATAATTAATTAAATGCAATTTTATCCCTTTTATTATACGGAAATCCGAATGAAAGAAATGGTCATTTTATGACCTCGAATCAAATTATTATAATCTCGACACCATTTTTTTATTGATTCTTATTGAATAATCGAAGATTATTTGAATATAAGTGAAAATTAAAATTGTACCTGATATTATCCTGACCGCTAAAAAAATTTCCAGACATGCAAGCTTGCATTAGCGACGTTAAAATCGAAGGATGGAACGTTGATCTTAAGAATCCAGTAAGTATATTAATTATTATTGTAATTTCAATTATATTGCGCAGACGCTCTTTTTTTTAAAAAAAAAATCTTTATTTAAACATGTAATAAATTAAAATAATTTTGCATTTTCGCTAGAGAGAAGTCGAGTTAATTTAATTATAAATTTTTTATAATAGCTATATAAACTTTCGCTTACCTCTGACAATGAATCTTGGTCAGTTCTGAGAAAATATTCCGAATTTCAACAATTAAGGACCATTGTAAGTCCATTTTTTTTAAAAAAAATATATTTTATATCACATGAACTTTATAAAGGTGAGTAATTTTTTAAACATAATTATAGTATTAAATTAGATTATAGATAAGAATAGTGTGATAAAATATGGAAAGGCGTTATATTTTTTAGAGCAAATTTATTATTTCTATCTCTCAACACAAAATGGCAGCTTAAAACGTGTTTCCCGGGGTCTCATCTCAAAAAAATTCCGGGCTTGAAAAAATTGGTATTCTATCATTACATAGCAAGTGTCAAAAGATTTAGCGAAGGAATGACACAATTCGTGGGTGACATTATCAACAACGCCACCTTGTTTGAAAAGTTTATTCATTTTTTTCGCTCTATTATTTGAAAAATTATTTTTAGTGTTTACATGACCCAGAAAGAGAGGGGGGGGGGGTGAGGGGGTTTCAATTTTCTTCCTTTTCAAATACAAACATTTTAGTTATAACTCTTTTTTACTCCATATAAATGATTTGTAAAATATTTCCAAATATTTGTAACCTTCTTACAAAATTCTTTTACCTGCTATAATTAGTATAAAAATTAACATATTGATAATATTTAAAAAACAAACAATTAGAGCAAAGTTAAACAATTTTATATATAAAAAAAGGTTGTTACAAATATAAGGAAATGTTTTACAAAAAATCATATTAATACTGTATTTTACGTGTAGGCTTTAATTAATTTCTCAATTTTATTAGACGTGATTGTGGTAATCTTTTATATTATTTTTATTTTTTTTAAAATACTCTTATAAAAACTAATTTAATTTTTATTGACTGTCAGATATTTGATATATTAAAGTTTTTTTTAGTCAATTCAACATCCCTAATTTAACAATGGTTTATTTAATTAATTTACAATGTAATAAATCAATGTATTCAATTAATGCCTTTTATGGGTCTGAATATGGCCCAGACCCCGTTGGAGTAGTTTTGCGCCTGTCTCATTCATTTGAACCCGGCCTTTAACAGTTTTTACAAAGATTGCCCAGCCATATTTTTTATAATTTAGAAATATATCATATGGTAAATTAATTAATAATGATGTGATTTTCTTATTATAGCAATAATCACAAAATGTAGGAAAAGGAAATCGTATTTATGAATTAAACTATCATATTAGCCGGTCATTTAATCATTAAGACTATAAGAAAAATAATACATATTATTTTAACAAAACTAGGCTTTAAAATATATTTTTTTTATTACTCTATTCAACTCTACTTTTCGCACCCTCAACCTGGCAAAAATAAAATTAAATCAGACTTTACTCGGCACCGCCCGGCCTATGAGGCGGACATTTCAGATCTCTCTTAACTTTACACTTCTGCTGTCATTATTGACTTGTATTATTTTTATATTTGATTTAGAACAAAAAAAATCATGCAAATTAATCAAATAAATCGATTTTTATGTAAAAAAAATTATCCTGTTTTTTAACCTTCCGCCTTTAAACTATTTTCTCTCACAAAGGAAAATGCTGGTTATGCTATTTATCGGCTAGGTATATATAAAAACTATGAATGTATGGGGGTAATGTTAAATAAAGGAAATTATACAAATAAATTCTAGATTAGTGTAATTGGAAACCTTGATTTGGTCTATTTATAAAAAGGGTTGGAATTCATAATTTTAGCCAAAAAGTATTACTTTAGTCTCGAGTTTTCCCCAAGAGATGAATATAATATTTGACGAAAATTTCATGGACGTAAGGTAATTTTTCTGGCTAAAATGTAAAAATTGGCAGAATCGAGGTTCACAATATTTACTCAAAATGTTGTTTTATATACATAACTTGGTGGAGAATTGATAAATTGTTTAAAGTTGGTAAAATATTCATGATTAATGAACCATATATATATATTAACATTATGACCATAAAAATTGCTGTAAATGGCCATTAATTTATGAACAAACATTTCGGATTTGTTAAATATCTATTATTATATATTTATCACAAATTCGCAAGGCCATTTTTTTTTGAAAATCATAGGAAGAGAAATTGCAAAAAAATAAAAACCACAATTATTGGGATTAAAATTTTTATTTTAAAAATATAATATAATAAATAATTGTTTTTAGATGGGACCTTGAAAGTTATATTTCTTATTTCATTAAAAAAAATAAATTATTTTTAAACATTATACCTGAATTGTATATTTTAAAAGAAAGAATTACTTAATTTATTAAAACTTTAAAAAAATTTTTTTTAAAGAAACCTTTAATATTTTATAGCTTTGAAATAGAATTTTAAAAAAAATTTATTTCCTATTTTTGAAATAGGATACGATATAATACATATTTAATTAATTAATTACAAAAAAATGGTATAATGAAATGAATGATTGGTGTATAGGTTGGTACGGGCTGGCGTGTAAATATTCTATTAGATATTTTTTGGCTTGACCCGTAAAATATATTCGGTAAAAGTTGTCCATCCCAACCCGTAAATTTTTTTTTACCCCACCCCAACTATCTTTTTTGGGCTGAACCGACCTTCAACGAATGAATGCGATTATCTTTGGAGGACAATATTTGTAAGGTGGAGCGGATTGCTATTTTATAGACCTAGATATCAAAACGTAAATAGTAGGAGTCAATTAAAAAATAAATATTTTGACAAGATGAAAGATAATTTTAAAAAAATTTCGATATTTGACTTTAAAAAACACTGTAAACACTTTGTCGTAGGGGGGGGGGGTAAATATTTATAACGAAGAAAGAAAAATCAGGATTATAACTTGTATTAATAATGATTGAAAAAATTTTAAGTGTTAAAATTGGTTAAGGGTTGGTTGGGTAATAGCTAAAATCTGCCAATTATAGTGTCTTTAAACGTTACTTTAGAAAGTAGATTTCCAAAATTTGAGTATATGTTATGCAAAATAAAGTAAATTGAATGTATTCTCGTCTAACGACACCCTTTGAATCTAGCAACTATTAGAGAATTCGCTAATCATTGAAGCACGAGTTCATGTATCTTTGTGTTCTTTAAAGTTGAACTCCATTTTTTTTTAAAAAAAACCCCCAGGGACGGAAGCGATATTTTTTCAGTTATAACTAGGGTTTAGCCGGCTAGAACTATTGAAAATAAAACAACTCGAAGAAAACAATTACCAAACTATAGTCATTCATCATATCCTATTACATCATTTTTATGACAAGTAATTAATTATCACTCAATGTATTTTTATTTTAAATTTAAATTTATTATTTAAAAAAAAAAATTAGCATATTTTATTCATAAATCAAAAAAAAAAAAATTTGAGGAAAAAATTGGGGAAATCGATTTCTGGCATGATAATGAATATATCTATCTTGGGATGAAAACAAATTTAAAAATAATTAATTTAGATTAAACCCGTTCTATAGAAACAAATTTGATTATTTAACATCCTTAGGGGACTGTTGCTACAGAACTGGTTTAATCTAAGTTTAATTATTTTTTTTATTTTTATTTAAAAATAGCTGATAAAAAAAATTGATAATGAAATCAGCGAAGTTTTTCATCATTTTTTTTTCTCGTTTACAATCTCGAGAAATGGAAATATCCCAATATTTTTGGAAATGATGAATAGGATACTGTAAGCATTTCTGTTTTCATTTATTCATTTATTTTTTCCCCATTTGGGGATTTGGAATTCACGGAACCTGGTTACCTCTCTTATTGAAATCTAAGAACCAGAACCTATTTAAAATTTCCCTAAGAACCGGAAGTAATTTATATAAATATTAAGTTATTTATTATAAATTATTTTTAGAGGGTCTTTTTCTTGTTTCATCTTTGTTTTTGCTTTGCTTTAACCAAGTTTGGAATCATTAGAACCCAGAATATGATTTACCGAAAAATTTTAAGCACCAGCGCCACTTTAGGCTATGACCTAAATATATTTTTTAATAAAAACCTCAAAACTTTCTTAACTTTATTAAATTATGAATCATGTTCATAATCTTCCAATAAATTTTTTTTAAAGTTTTCTAAATTTGAAATTTAATAATTCCTCCTATCAAATTATTTATACTTCCCATTTTGATTAATATAACTGACTATTTCTTATTTTAATTTGAAAAATATAAATTTATATTGTTTTTTTTTCGTTATAATTTCACTACTTTATAAACTTTAAAAATTTAATAAACTTTGGTAAATTCGAAAAAATGATTTAGGCCACTACTTTATTTTTACATTAAAAATACCTTATTTCTTTCTTTCGTTAAAGTTACGAAAGTTTATTAAGTATATTTTTGATATTTAGGTTAATCATTGTAGTTAGGCTCCACAAACCTTGCTTCTAGCATTTATAATATTAGATTGGTCCCCTTGCCAAACGAGGGCAAAATGGACCCGTATTTTAAATTTGGGATCTGATTCGATGTTCTAGAATTATCATTATCAATTATTATTAACTCACATTTTGTCAGCCAAATCGGTTTGACGGGATCAGTTATAATAGCTCCGGGAGTTTGCTTTGAAAAAAGATGTATAGATAAGATATTTTAAACACGATTATCTTTCTTTGTAATCGAAATTTAAGTAAATCAATGATTTCAATTTTTTTGATACATATATATTTTTTAAAACTTTTTAAAAATCGATTTTTTTTTTAAAATTAAAAAAAAAAATAAAAACACAGGTAATAGTACTCCAAAAAAAAATTAACGTTATTCTTAAGAAAAAAAAAATTGGCAAATAATATATGAAAATTTTACTTGAAAATAAATCAAAATTCGGGTAACGTAAGAACCTTCCACGAATATCGTTAAACGTCGCCGATATTAAATTAAGAGATTGGCTTCGAGATTTCATTTTTAGCCGCCATTTATGAGCAAATTCTTATGCGTGAACTTTTTTTTGGCTAAAATATTGGGTAGGTTTTAAAAAGAGAGTCGTTTAACAAACTTCCCCCTCACCGATTCGCAATGCACTGAAACCTATAAAGCTGATGGCTACCTTATCTTGACTCCATTTGAAATGTTCTAATTCAATAAAAACGATTGCAAAAAAAAATACCCATAATTAGTAAACCATATGGACGTATTTAATAAATTTTTTTCAGAAAAAAACTATTATTTTTCCAATTTCTATCGAAATGTTTGGGAGAAAATTTTCTTATTTATCGTTTGTAAAAAAAAGAAAGTCAAAACTATAGATGTGGGGAAGGTGTCCTAAGTGAAAATTTTATTTTTTTTAAAAAAAAATTAATTTATTGAAATTTACGAAGTTTATTGTTTTTTTTTGACTTTGGACACCACGCCCTTAATCCCCCAAATTCTATCTCGATTCACAGTTCCAAAAACAATTTTTAACTTTTT